TATTGAAAAAAAAATTACACTAGCAAGATGTAAAATAAATCATTAGAAGGACGTCTTACACCCTATTATTTGACATTATTAAAATCAGTGTATTAGCAATCAAGTAAATTTTGATTCATTAATATTTTACTTTTCATTTTATTCTATATAACCTTCTTCAACAATATTGTTTAGTAATTTTGTTTGTATTGAAGTCAAAATAACCTTTTTAAAATTTGTAAGTGTGCAACGTTGCTGAGTATTCTATTTCATTATTAATCGATTCTAATCCACTCAATCTCTTTACCTTTCCAATTCAGTCACAGTAATTATTTGATTTTGTAATATATATAATTCTCTATAGATAGTATTCATAAATTAGACTTATCATAAAAGGTTTTTCTTTTTTGTCTGATAAAACTATTTAAGTTATTTATCAAATAAATTTAGTTAATTTAATTTAGCAAACCTTAGATTTCATTATTTTTCTTTTTCTGTGAAGCCAAATATTTTAAATAAGGAGGTACAATTGATTAGTTAAAAAGATTTTTGATAATTGTTTTCTTATTGTCAGGTTAAAATTATATAAATTTTATTTCATAAAGCCTTCCCCCAGTTTATTTCATTAATGTACCTTTCTATATAAATATACTAGAATTGATCTCACAATCAAATCCTTTCTATGAACAAAAAATTAAGACCTCTTAATTGTCTTGAAACTGGTGATACTCTCATGCTTTGAAAATCATCTGAGTAACAATAATTCTCAATAACATTAATCCTTCTATTTACATTAATTGTATGGAATCACTTCTCATTCCGATCTAATCTATAAACCTGTATTAATCAGTTAATTACATTATAAGGATTAATCTAAACTAATCTCTTGGGGCAAATATAATAAATATTTCAATTAAATTAATGAAAAATCCTACTTATTTTTCTAGATCTTTGTAAATTATAATAATAAATGGCAACCATAGAACCAGTTATCAAATTTATAAAAAATGTGAAAATTAAAGGCTTATAATATATTCCATCTATAATGGATATTAATTTTACTACTAAATTAAATATAAAAATTTTTTCCTGAAAATTAAGATGAAATTAATAAAAGTAATAATCTAAAAATCAAACGTTATTATAATTAATGAATCTGAATAATAATAAATATAACAGTGAAACCAGAGAAATTTAAAATGAAACAGATTACCTATTTTTATCGAGAATAACCAATTTAAAATTAATTTGAGTTTAATATCTCTTTTGTTAAGATTATGACAAAATGTGTGCGTTCAACTTTATTTATTAATTGCTTGATTTCCCTCTTCTAAAATTTTGCTAATTGCATTAAACTATGTTAAATTGATGAGGGAAACAGAAGATTCCTACAAATTAGGAATCTCTAGAATTGATTTCACTACTATTTTAAATATAATAGATGAGCTTGAGTAAAGCTGTTATCAAGATTAAAATATATTATATTTTTTGATATTGAATAAGATTTCTAATAAATGGTTCACTTTCTAAAAAGTACTTCATTACATTTGAACCATTCATCATCAATTCTGGAATTATACATGTTATAAAGATAAATACAAAGCGCCAATATCTTTAATTCTATATATTTTCTCAAATTATTAGTATATTAATAAATTGTCAAATAGTAGAAACTATAATATCAAAAAAGTATATAATATCAAGAATAAAGAAAGGTTTCTCTGCCGATTAGTTTGCACCAAACTAAATTACTTAAAAAACCTGTATTAGCGAACTTGCAAATATTAATGGATTTATACCTGAGATATTTTATTTTTTATTGGGATATGAGTAGAATGAGCACCATAAATCTTATTACACCTTTTTGATATTGAACTAATCTTTCTTCTGATTATGCAATTATATAAGGATATAACCATTATTTCTTTAATGTAATTAAATAATGTTGAAAATCGACACAATCAAGTTATGAAAAATACATGATTTATTGTTCATTTACTAAACATAATAAAATGAAAGTAGAAAATTAAATAGTGAATTTACACTCTTAATCCTATTAATTTAGAATTGCTCAAACTTGAGCAATTCTAAATTACACATTTCTTATGAGGAAGTAGCTAACTTTAAGTAAATTGAGTTAGTTTTGTATTTGCAATGTGAATATTCATTTAAGAAGTAGCATATGAATGTCAAAAGACATTTTGTATGAATCAAATTTGCAATCGATTAATTTTAATAAATTCCCCTTAATCATAAACTTTTAACTGCCTAAATGAAGATAGAATTTAGTTAGCCATTAACTTTCTACTATTACTCTGTTTTCCATTTTTAGATGAACTTTATATATTTTATTTAGATTTGTTTAATGTACTTCTCCTATTAAACCTATTATTCGAAATGTGATTGTAATAAAAATAGCTATCTCTATATATTTATTTAGATTTATTGAGATTCACTCTTCTAACCTATGAGGTCCAATTGTATTACTGTATTTGTAGAATATGATGTATTATATTTATTTCAGAACCATCATCAATAATCATAGTTGTCAATCAGGAAATGAAGTCAACTTAAAGAAGATTCTAAGCTAAAATTATCACAATAACGTCCTGTTTAGGAACAGCAAATTTAAATTTTGAAAGAAACAGAAATAAAGATGATGACGTTATTTTGGATTTATATAAATGGCACAAGCTAAAAGTGCAACATTTACAACTTTTTGTTGATGAATCACCACAATAACTATCAAATAATTTTAATTACAAGAATTGGAAAATAAGAAAGCAATATTACAGCATAAAAAATTATCTATCTTAGCTTTGAAACATTTTAAATAATTTTAGTCGCATTATTGAAAGTACCTCCATATTGCTAGCTTAAACAACTTGTTATGCACACAATATTCTACTGTAAAATTTCAGATCATTACATCTTTAGCAAAAATACTACAATTAATGATATGGAATATTTTTAGTGATATTAGCATTAATCATAGAATAGATTATTATTGTTATTTTAAAAATAATTATTACATTGCAGACTGAACAAATTTGAGATAATTGTTCCAATTTTATAGAATACCTTTTGACAAGTTATATATATTATAGAATATGTAACAAAATTCACATGTTTTCCTATTTCCCATTCTAATTGCTATTTAAGTGGCACATCCTTATGAAAAACTAATTCATTCATATTTACTATGTCTAAATAGATGTCAGCTGGACACTTAAAATACGATTATCTAAATAACTATACCTTTCAGCTGAACAGCTAGCAGATTTGCTTTCAGGATCCCAAAATCTGCAAGCTCCATCAAATACTGCTCCACAAACAATCCCTGAGGACACGCATTTTTACAATCTAATGGATTTAAACAATTATTTTAAATTTAAATTTTTTGAATTTATAAATCATTGGATCTCCACATCAATAATCATTCATTCTGGACAGTAGATTATTTGGCATTTTCTTATTCAGCATAATCTCATTTGTATTCTTTGTTTTTTTCTTTTTATCTTTGCAGAAACCATATTTTTTGGCAATTAATTTTTTCCATTTACCAACTTGACATTGTCCGCATTGTAATTTTCAGCTCTTTGTGATCTAAATATTTTGATCCAACAATAAAGTTATTGACCCTTAGTACTTTTAAAAGTTTCTATGTCTCCTATTAACATGATCATCCTTATGTTTAATGGCGAGTATTCGAGTTGGATTTAGTTTGCAATATATCCCAATGTATTTCCAGTTACAAAGCACCATGTAATAAATTTTCAAAATGAATTAAATTATTTTTTTATTCAATTTTTTCTTTTTTTGACTTAGTTTTATAACTAATTCATTCTTATGTGACACTCGCTAAAAAATTGATCTATCTAAATATTGTCATATTTAAGGTTAAAATTGAAGATTTTGAAGTTACAATCGTTAAGGAAATAAGATATAACTACAATAAAATTATCAAAATTTAAGGAATATGATGAAATATTAAAACGATAATGTAATACTTAAGCACATTTTCCATGGTTATATATATGATCTAAAATAGAATAAGGAAAGTAACTTATAGGGAACTGTATTGATTGGATTGATATTTTGAAAGGTGATATTCCTTATGTATTAGAAATCAAAATCTAATTAGAAGATTACTTAACTTTTCCTTCAAAATTAATTTATTAATCAAATATCAAACTGGATAAGAACAAATGAAATTAGAACTGATATTTTTATTCCTCTCAAATGATGATGGGACATTTGAACCAACTTTTGAATTTTCTTAATTTAGAATTCAAAGACAAAGAAATTACATTACCAGAAGACTTTCAAGATTTGGTGTAAAGTACAAGGTTTCACTAATACAGAATGCAATTTGAAACAATTCAAATTCCAAGACCAAAGTCAGACCCAGAATCTACTAAAGTTTTCATGAGGAATATGTATAGAACACCACAAGATTTAAATTAAAATGATTATTGGGATTATCCTTGAGGTAGCATATTTTTTAATCTTTCAGAGTAATTTATTTTGATACTGCGAGTCTAGTTAAGAAAGGACATAGTTTGCTATTNAAATAGATGTCAGCTGGACACTTAAAATACGATTATCTAAATAACTATACCTTTCAGCTGAACAGCTAGCAGATTTGCTTTCAGGATCCCAAAATCTGCAAGCTCCATCAAATACTGCTCCACAAACAATCCCTGAGGACACGCATTTTTACAATCTAATGGATTTAAACAATTATTTTAAATTTAAATTTTTTGAATTTATAAATCATTGGATCTCCACATCAATAATCATTCATTCTGGACAGTAGATTATTTGGCATTTTCTTATTCAGCATAATCTCATTTGTATTCTTTGTTTTTTTCTTTTTATCTTTGCAGAAACCATATTTTTTGGCAATTAATTTTTTCCATTTACCAACTTGACATTGTCCGCATTGTAATTTTCAGCTCTTTGTGATCTAAATATTTTGATCCAACAATAAAGTTATTGACCCTTAGTACTTTTAAAAGTTTCTATGTCTCCTATTAACATGATCATCCTTATGTTTAATGGCGAGTATTCGAGTTGGATTTAGTTTGCAATATATCCCAATGTATTTCCAGTTACAAAGCACCATGTAATAAATTTTCAAAATGAATTAAATTATTTTTTTATTCAATTTTTTCTTTTTTTGACTTAGTTTTATAACTAATTCATTCTTATGTGACACTCGCTAAAAAATTGATCTATCTAAATATTGTCATATTTAAGGTTAAAATTGAAGATTTTGAAGTTACAATCGTTAAGGAAATAAGATATAACTACAATAAAATTATCAAAATTTAAGGAATATGATGAAATATTAAAACGATAATGTAATACTTAAGCACATTTTCCATGGTTATATATATGATCTAAAATAGAATAAGGAAAGTAACTTATAGGGAACTGTATTGATTGGATTGATATTTTGAAAGGTGATATTCCTTATGTATTAGAAATCAAAATCTAATTAGAAGATTACTTAACTTTTCCTTCAAAATTAATTTATTAATCAAATATCAAACTGGATAAGAACAAATGAAATTAGAACTGATATTTTTATTCCTCTCAAATGATGATGGGACATTTGAACCAACTTTTGAATTTTCTTAATTTAGAATTCAAAGACAAAGAAATTACATTACCAGAAGACTTTCAAGATTTGGTGTAAAGTACAAGGTTTCACTAATACAGAATGCAATTTGAAACAATTCAAATTCCAAGACCAAAGTCAGACCCAGAATCTACTAAAGTTTTCATGAGGAATATGTATAGAACACCACAAGATTTAAATTAAAATGATTATTGGGATTATCCTTGAGGTAGCATATTTTTTAATCTTTCAGAGTAATTTATTTTGATACTGCGAGTCTAGTTAAGAAAGGACATAGTTTGCTATTATTAATTCAATATCATTTACTATATAAGCATTAGATTTCATACAATTATCTAACATTTAATGGGTAAATATGATTACAAAAGAAGATTGTTGAAGATTTAATTTTAAAATCTCACCATTCTAATAATCAAAATAACAAATCAATTTTGCTACAACTAAATTAAAGAATAAGACTGCATCAGCCTTAGCAGTACCAGATTTCAAGTCTTCTGCATTATTTTGTTCTAATAAAAAGCATCAAGAACTTTGTGATAAAACAGTGTAATGCTGTATATCATATTAAGTTGATAAAAAAGAAGATTGTTCTTAAAAAGAAAATAAATTAAATTTTGTACATATGATGAGGAATAATCAAGTAATTGAAAATACAATTGTATTAATGATTTATCTAAATTAGGAGGAACTTTATGATAATTTCACCTTAAGACAACCTGAGTAATGTTAATGAATATTCTGTATATACTTGGAGAACATTTGAATAATGTTAAGATGAATTTGACGAAGTTAATATATATGTTATACATAACTTTTTCTTCTATTAATTAAATAAATAATACTTTTAATAATCAACTAATATACAACATGTATGGAGAAAAAATGTTCTGATTATAAATTTGAAATTGATTATAAAAGTATTTTAACAGATGACATAAAAAGGGCTAAACCTTGTATACATTGGAATAAGGATAATGTATATAAGGATTTAACTAAATTAAATATGTATAATTTTTTAATTGATTCATTGAATACAACTATGGAGAAGGAAGTTGATAAGTTATGTAAAAGTTGTAAATTTAAAATATATTGAATTTTACTATTTTTGTATTTTTATTATTATTAGCAAAATTAAAAGTCAGCTAAATTAAAATCTAATACTCAAGATATATTTTGTACTCAAATTAAATCGAAAAAATAAATAATAACAGATAAAGATGTTGAAAAATGATCCAATTTCATATGAAGAATTTGATGATCTCAGATAATTACGTAGAATGATAAGATAAACATATCATTTATGTTCTTCATAGTAAAAACTATATAATTCCTAATTCAATTTTATGTATAAATAGTTTAAAATTTGGTTTGTTATTTCTTAGATAATTATATAACGAAATATAAATTTATTTTATAATTACTATATCAATTGTGACTGCGAAGTTCGATAATACGTAATTCGATATAACAAACCTTTTTTGAAAAAAAAAAATTATAATTTGAATTCTTAAAATATAAAAAATTTTTTCTCTTTCTTTTTCTGTAATTTGAATTAGGAATGGGTAAGATCCTTTGTTTTTANACCACAAGATTTAAATTAAAATGATTATTGGGATTATCCTTGAGGTAGCATATTTTTTAATCTTTCAGAGTAATTTATTTTGATACTGCGAGTCTAGTTAAGAAAGGACATAGTTTGCTATTATTAATTCAATATCATTTACTATATAAGCATTAGATTTCATACAATTATCTAACATTTAATGGGTAAATATGATTACAAAAGAAGATTGTTGAAGATTTAATTTTAAAATCTCACCATTCTAATAATCAAAATAACAAATCAATTTTGCTACAACTAAATTAAAGAATAAGACTGCATCAGCCTTAGCAGTACCAGATTTCAAGTCTTCTGCATTATTTTGTTCTAATAAAAAGCATCAAGAACTTTGTGATAAAACAGTGTAATGCTGTATATCATATTAAGTTGATAAAAAAGAAGATTGTTCTTAAAAAGAAAATAAATTAAATTTTGTACATATGATGAGGAATAATCAAGTAATTGAAAATACAATTGTATTAATGATTTATCTAAATTAGGAGGAACTTTATGATAATTTCACCTTAAGACAACCTGAGTAATGTTAATGAATATTCTGTATATACTTGGAGAACATTTGAATAATGTTAAGATGAATTTGACGAAGTTAATATATATGTTATACATAACTTTTTCTTCTATTAATTAAATAAATAATACTTTTAATAATCAACTAATATACAACATGTATGGAGAAAAAATGTTCTGATTATAAATTTGAAATTGATTATAAAAGTATTTTAACAGATGACATAAAAAGGGCTAAACCTTGTATACATTGGAATAAGGATAATGTATATAAGGATTTAACTAAATTAAATATGTATAATTTTTTAATTGATTCATTGAATACAACTATGGAGAAGGAAGTTGATAAGTTATGTAAAAGTTGTAAATTTAAAATATATTGAATTTTACTATTTTTGTATTTTTATTATTATTAGCAAAATTAAAAGTCAGCTAAATTAAAATCTAATACTCAAGATATATTTTGTACTCAAATTAAATCGAAAAAATAAATAATAACAGATAAAGATGTTGAAAAATGATCCAATTTCATATGAAGAATTTGATGATCTCAGATAATTACGTAGAATGATAAGATAAACATATCATTTATGTTCTTCATAGTAAAAACTATATAATTCCTAATTCAATTTTATGTATAAATAGTTTAAAATTTGGTTTGTTATTTCTTAGATAATTATATAACGAAATATAAATTTATTTTATAATTACTATATCAATTGTGACTGCGAAGTTCGATAATACGTAATTCGATATAACAAACCTTTTTTGAAAAAAAAAAATTATAATTTGAATTCTTAAAATATAAAAAATTTTTTCTCTTTCTTTTTCTGTAATTTGAATTAGGAATGGGTAAGATCCTTTGTTTTTATTATGAGTGATAGAATGAGCATATTTTTTTAGGATGATATTGCTATCACAATTTTCAAAATAAATCTGTAAGATTCTCATAACTAGATTTCTACGATTAATAATTTTAAAATTAACTAATTCATTAACTAATATCTTTAGTCAAGGTATCTGTTGAAAATCAAGTAATAAAGAAAGAAGAATGCCTTAAATAAGAATTTAAGAAATAATTTAATCAAAATTTAGAAAAAGAGAAGATTCAGAAATAGTAATTAGAAGAGGCAATGAAAAGTAAAGATAAATAGTTATAATCTCAAAATTCAGAGATTCAATAACTTAAGTATATTTATAAATCTATCTTACACAATCATCTTAGTTTATTTAATAACTTATAATCAATCCCAAATTACACTGCTAAATTTATAAAGTATGTTAATTTCTATAGATATCACCTAAATATTAGATAATTTAATACATATATCCAATAAATTTTTCTCTTTTCACGTTAAGAGACAATAACTTAGCCCCCAAATTATATAAGTCAAAGGAAATTGAAAAAAATCTAGAGTGAAAATACCTTGCTTCTCTAAAAGTGCTGATTTAATTTAAATTTAAATTTCATTTTAAATTATGAAATCATAGCACAATACTTAATAGCCTAAAAATAAAAGCTATATATTTTCCTCGTATTTTTCCTTCAATTTTAATAAACCAATCATTTCATTTTTAAATTTGGTTTTCTCTCTGACTTTCATTGAAATAATGAAATTGATCATCTTATTTTCAGATATAGGAAGTGAATTATCTAATACATACCATAGCACCAAAATAAGTATAGAATGTTGAATCTTAGGGCATCAATGTTCCTAGAGAATTGCGAAATTTTTAGGTTAGAGTGTCAGTGTTTTGATATTTTAATATGTTTAAATAGTAGCCATCAAAAAATGATTATGATTGTAGTTTAATATATAACTGGGTTTAATTAAATTAATGTTAATTGATTAGTTAAATAATTTTTAGAAACTCTTAAATGGAAACTTTGTTTGAGATGATTATTTTATTTTTAATATAGGAAATCCTATATTTGTTTATGTTTAAGGAATGAATGATATATTTTCAATCTTTTCTTCTTAACCTAAATCAATTGATATTGACATAATAAATTAAACTTTATTAATGATTAAATTGTTTAGATGAAAAGATTTCTATTCGCATTTTTAAATTATTGGAGAGTATTCATTAGTGATCCGTTTTTTAACAGATTCAAAGTAATTATCTTCATTAATTTTAATCTTTACGAGCATCTTATCTTATTGTTTTATAATAACTAACCATATTATATATATTTACTTATTATTATTTATTTTTAAGAGTATATTTTATATAATTGAGAGTATTATCAATTTGAAGTTGTGGGTTCATATTATTTTATAAGCTGAGAAATGAACTAAACTTTTTATACCATTTTAGAAGATATTTTCTAAAATATCCATAATAATTCAATTGAAAAAATTTATAATGATATTACTTTTTTAATTAAATAAAATTATATTATGGATGTTTTTGGCTGCAAATAAAAATTTATCAGTTATATTAATTTTCTTCATAATCTATATTTTATTTTGGCTCAATATTTTCGCCTTGTTACATCAGCTTTTCCTCCTCTAAATTTTGCTATTGCTTGCCTTCTTGATTAAGAGAATTATCCTTTTTTTGATTTTTAATTGATTTAAATTAGTTAAATTACATTTCCAATTGTTAATCAACTACATCATCAAAGTAATATTTTTAACAAGAACAAACATATGTTAATATTTCAATTTAGAAATAGACATCTAAATGGATTTTGATGATATCATTATTTTAACATATAACCCCATAAGGATCTGTTTAAGGATGAGCATTTGGGGAAAAATTTATATTTCTTAAACTCTCTTACAATATTTGACCCTATATATAATATAATTTAATAATACAATTTGAGTCATTATTTAATCTTGTTCTTAAGGTTTTTGGCTAGATGAAAAATCATTCATTTTATAAATATATTTACTAGCTTATTTTATGAAGTCATTATTATATTTTTGTTTTTAATCAAACATTTACAGTTCTCTATTTTGTAAATGAAATTTTTACTTGTTATACTTTTTTAATATTTCATTTTAGATTGTAATTACCTAAGTCATCCATCCATGAAAATATAGGGCTTAAAGTAGAATTGTAAGTAATACACTCTAGTTTAGTTCAGAATGAATTTCATTGATAAAATTAAATTCAGGTGCTTATAATGCCTATTAATAAAGTTGTTTCATTTAAGTAAAACCTAAAGGTATTAATTCCATATTTAAGTAATCATGAATCTGCTATTTAATATTCTTTGCTAATTAAGTAATATTAAACTAACCATCAATTTCATAATGATAACAAATCTTTTATTATTTATTAAATAATCTAAGCATTATGATAAGAGGTCTGTAAATAATAATTTCAATCTAACCAGTTTCTATTTATTCATGTAAATCATTCCAATTAATTAAGTTCAATATAATATCAATGCTAGCTCTTAATTTCTATTTAAGTGTTTATGCTGCAATCTAAGAATTCTTTAAATTTTCATTATTGTTAGCTAAATCTTTTGCTAATTCATACTATATAATTTCTTTTCTAGAAGGGATATGCCAGTATTTTTCAATTCTAAAAATCAATTAGAATATTAGTACATTGTTTTAAAATATCTGCACACCATTCTCAATTAAAATAATTCTATAATTCCTAGAAATGATAATATATTGTTCTAAAATAAAGAGGATGGGATCTGCTTCATTATTGAATTATCATTCAATAGAGGAATTTATTCAATGTCATTAGATTTAACCTCAATATATATATTCTTTGGGAGCTAAAAATGCACACTTTAAGCTTCAACATCATATTTATAACATTATTTAAATTGCTTGTGAGGAAATGCCAATATTTTATAAATTTCATAATACATAAACTATTAAATTAATAAAATAGAATTACAGTATCATCCTCATTGAATTCCTGTTATTTAATTAGATTTAATTGTTTCCTAAAGACCTTGATAGGCTAAACTTTGAAATTCTCAAAAATACCTTACCCTTTCAAACTTTCCTATAAAATATAAAAGTTATTATTCAAATATTTTTAATCTCCTGAATTTAGATTTTCTTTTAATTCATCAAAATAAGTTTCTTTAGTTATATCTTTTGTTATATACAAATTTCTGTTAGGACTTTTGATAATTTTCATTATTTAATATAGTTGTGAAATGTTGACTTTATCCTCCCATTCATAAAGAAGGTTTTGAGTTGCTGATATTTAAGATTCCTATTTCTTTATTCTTTAGTTATATTCCTACTCAATTATTTGCTGTAATTATTCAATGTCTAAAACATCATTATATAAATCTAAAAAATTTTATTAAAATTTATTGCAAGTTGTTTCTAAGAATCTTTTATGAATGAATATATCTGGAATGCCTTAAATTAAAAGAATTAACTTTTGTATTAGATTTCTTGATGAGATTTACTATTCTGTGAATGGGACATTACGCCAAAAATAGTTTTATTCGGTTTACATATTCTGATTGTTATTTTGGAGCTGCCATGATCCTTAAGAGGTATTTTGTTCTTGTTCTGGATTCATTTAATTGTTCTATGAAAATATAAAAAAAATTATTAAATATTGAAATTCATAATGATAAATTCAAAAATTCATATGAAAAATAAGACCAGTTTTCTCTATTGAATAATATATTTTATTAAAATAATCAAAAAACTCAAACATGAGCATTGATTATTACTAAGATTTGCAATTATTTATTATCCTATGATAATTTTTCAAAAGAGCTTTTGGATTTCTAAAAGTGAAAAAGCTTTTTAGTTCTTGTATTAAAGTATTAATTTTTATCTAAACAAAGAGAAAACAAATAAAAATAAAATATTATCTAATAACAAAAGTGATTAAAATAATTAATCTTTACAAAATTATTCAAATTTAATATGATATCCAATTTATGTCAGTATTTTATTATAATTGTTTAATTAGTTTAAGAAATTTTTCAATTATACAAACTATTATTGAATTTCTAATTAAATATTTTATGATAGAATCTTTATTCATCTCTATCAATTTTAATTATTAGGGACTTAAAATACACAAAGTTGCGCAAATTAAATATACTTTCTTAAATAATTAAGTCATCCATATATCAATGAACTAACCTTTAAATTAGATAGGATAATAGGATTTGGTTCTATCTAATTATGGCTTTAATAAATTACAATTTAAAAAATCCTTTTTAAGAGCAATTCTTAATATTTATAATCACTTATTTAGTTTTGTCGTCTTATTTAAATCATAAAAACATTATTTCATAGAGATTTTAATCTTTCAAATGTATTAATTAATTTAGGTAAACTCTGAATCTACACTGTGATTTAGAAATACCAAAATTATTCTCTTCTATTCGTTCTCCAAATTAAGTTGATGAACGCAATTACACTATATCTAAAGTTTATTATCTCCAAAAAATAATATTAATTTTGTGTCTTTAAATGGATATTTCATTTATTTTATTGTTTCAAATTATATTTCATTTCTTTTTTCATAAATATCAATTTTAATATCTCTTATAACTGCCCCGCTATAATTTATAAGTAAAACCAAGCGTTTAATATTGGAATGGATTGATTCTAGACAGTCCTAATAAATTAGATTTAAGCCTTTAGATTTCTAATCAATTGCATTATGCAAATGAAAGCAATAAATATCAAATAATCAAAATTTTCCCACTTTAGTGATTGCCCTATAAAGGTTAATCTTTGACCAAATTACATATTTTAAGCAACTATTACTTGTATAATCATATAGTTTTATATTACTGATTATCAATTTGAGGACTTATAATGTAATTCAATATTTTTAAAATTTTTATTGATATTAGATATAGATTCTTTTCAAATGAAATCAAATTAGGATCGCTTCACCGTTTAGATAAGGCATCTATAAATTTTCTGGGATTAAAATTTCTAATTAAAAAGGTGTATAGAAGGATAATAAATGATTTTTAAATATAGAGTGAATAATTGTATTTGAATAATTATAAACTTTTAATATAAGTAAAAAAATGTATTCAAGAAAAATTTTAGATAATCTCAATTCTATTAAGCATTATTTGTATTTCCTTAATTTAATGATAAAAATCAATGAAAATTCTAACTTTTTTTTTTTATTTTTCCACTCTCTCTTTATCTTTTAGTGTATATATATACTGTCTAAAGAATATTATAAAACTTGCTGCTATTACAAAATCATCTCTTGTTAATGATTACTTACATCTAATTAACAGAATTACCTTAGTTTAAATGTTTACAAATTAGTTGTAATGGGTCTAAATCCTAAGATTAAAATCAATAATTTTAAAAATTCTATTTGAATTGCGAATAAGATAAATATGAATCTTATTAAGATTATTCAATAGGCTTGATTCATCTTCTTAATTAATGAATTATATATATTTATTGATTTCTTAATCATCCATTCATCCACAAGTGTTACTAGCAATCTTTAATCATAATATATATTAAAATAATACTTGATGAATGTTTACAATTCAAAGATCTGACAAAATTTATAAATATATTATACAAATTTCAAAAAGATAAAGCATGAAAGCTTTTATGTGTAAATAATTTTAAAACTTCATAAAATTATTTCTTTATTTTTAATTTTAAAAAGGCTTGAATTATTAATATTATTTTGAAAAAAATATACGGGAGGGGAGAAAAAATATGAATAGACTTGAATTTGAATATAGAATAATTTATAAATAAAAAAAATTCTTATAATTCTATTAAAAAAAACTTAATGAATATTAATTTAAACTAAATTTAATAGAAAAAAATAGCCTAATCTTAATAATGTAATAGTCATGTATACACCAGAAATAAGTGAACCTCTACATTCTAATTTAATAGAATACTCTGAAGATATAAACAAAGCCCCACCTTTATTTATTTGTTATGATATCAATAATAAATTACCAATATAACTTGAATTGATAAATTATATTATTGATGTTTAACCTGGAATGGCAAGAATTGAAATGTAATAAACATATCGTACATAAAACTAGCAAATTCCAATTTAATTAGAATATATGTTCATAATAGATAAATAATCAGTTGTAAGGAAGATAGTAGCTGAATTAGAGGAAGAAAAAGTTCTAGGTATAGTAAAAGAGTTGGGAAGTAAAATAAGAATATAAATATAAAGAAAGGCTTTAACAAGGAGAAATAATGATATTAAGTTAACAGGATAAATAAATAATTGATTAAAAAAAAGTAAGGTTTGACTGGTTATCATTAATACATTAATTACTAAATTAACAATTTAATTATCATTCATTTTATAAATAAGTAGAACAAATCATTGATTTGAAATGATTAGTCATTTTGATTTATATAAATTATACAAAGAATGATGCTTTCCAAATGTAAAATTTTGTGCAACTTTAACATTAATACCTAAATTTAACTAAGTATTAGAAAAATAAAAGATAAAACTTATTTTTGAATTTATAAAATGGTCATTTAATTTATGTACCTTTAAAAGATATATATAATTCTTATATAAATAAATTTTACTTTAATATAAATATATTACATACAAGTTTCAGTAATTATTCGATATGACATTTTTATTGTGCGATTTTAGGTAATTTTTAAATTTTATTGTATTTCTTCATATTATTTTTATGATTTTTCAATTTATAAAACTTTGCAAAAAAATTATGAAAGAATTTATTTTAAAAAATGAATAAATTTTAAATTATACTGAACTACTATTCATCTATTTAATTTACAAATACCATACTCTTCCTCTTGTAAAAATAAAAATCAAATATATATAAAGAAATTATTAATTTTATAATTTAGATTTTATTGAGAGAATTAAG